ACTGTATCATCAATACTTGAGTTACTGCTGGACCTCCAGTGGGTTGAATGAGTGGCTCTGGACAAATGAGAGTGAGTTTTACTGAGTTGGTGTAAAACCTGGTGCTGCCTCATCATCAGCTGCTCTTCCACGTTTTTGTTGGCAGGTGAGAGAGATTTCTTCAGTTCTCTGGAGGAGGAAAGTGCGCAACTTTGCCATGTCCAGCAAGCTACTGAAAACTTTGAAACGATGGATAGAAATTTTGAGGAGGTCAAAACACCGTTGCAGAAGGACCATCTGTAAATTAAGGCACCTTGCTTGTATTTGTCAAAAATAGCTGAAAAAACTCAGGGCTGTAGGGAGAGCTCCAGTGAATAAAAGAGTTTCTGCAGGAGGAGCTATAAGGCTAACACGGCTGCTCAGTATTTTTCTTCCTTGTGGTCGTGGCTTGCGGGGAGCAGATCAACACCATTCACTGATCTCATTTGCCAGGTAACGCTTTTGATGGAAAGGGAACATTGTGCAGCAAACCAGCGTGTAGGGGAAGGCGACTTAATAGAAATCTGAAATACTTTGCTTCCGAAAAAAAGGAGAAGGTGCTGGCAGCCAGCCAGCCAAGAAGAGCTCTCCACCTGCAAACGCTGACCCGTCCAGCATCTCTCCTGCACAGGTACAACTGGAAGCTGTTTAATGAAGAAAAGCACTAAAACTGTCTTTGCATGTGTTTTTACCCTTACATTTTCTGTTTCCCAGAGAGTAGTTTTTATAAACATACCTCAGACCAAGCATCACATAACTAAACCCCCCTAAGTATCAACTGTAAATAAAATTGAAAAAAAAAATTGAATTTTAGTGTAGATGGATTAGTCATTCAGTTTGTTTTCGCAGGAATTTTTGCTTTTACTTATCCCTAACTGAAATGATACTGTTGTCACGTATAGTCATGACATTTAAAGGTACAGTCAGTCATTCATTATGCTCTTTCTGTCTTAACCTGTAGGGCAGTAAGAATTGTAAGCAAATTGCTTTAATGACAGAAATGTGCACAGGAGGGACAGTTACTTAAGAAAGCCAGGCTGAAATACTGAAGATGGGGATTTTTTTTTGGTGGAGAGGGGTTTTTTAAATTAATTAATTAATTAGTTATTAATGGTTTACTCCATTTACCTGCAGAAAACTTTTTCTCTGCTAACTATGCTTTTTACATAAATACAACTGAAATGCACCTCATTACCATATGCTTAAATACACCTGATTTCTTTGCTCTTTACAACCCTGCCCTTGACAGGATTCCACTGTTTATTTCCTCCGCAGTTCTGACCTGCCTTAGTTTCCTCACCGACGTGCTGAAGCAGCGAGAAACCTTAACAAGGATAAAAATTTGGGGAAAAATGCATAACCTAAAACTAAAATTAATCTTTTGGCCATGCCTTGGTTGCTCTCCTCTTGACTAGATATACCTGCCTGAGAAGTTGAAACCTACTTCATTAAGAACTCAGAAATGTCATCGAATTCTGCTACTGAGGGTAAGAATCAACATTACAGTGTTGTAGAACATACCGGTTCCTTTCACTCATCGAATCCTTTTGTACACAAAACACCTTGTACCTCTGGGCTCGTTAAGAGAAACTGGAGTTCTGAGCAGGCTGTGCATCACGCATGCAACATTTTCTGGCATTTCAGGAATTTTTGACTGTGCTTGCTTTAACATGTTTTCAGAGCTGGAAAGGCAGTTTAAGGAAAAAAAAAAATTGTGCGAAATGCTTCGTTTGTGTCATTTTGCACATTCACTTATCCCACTGTTGTGAGCAGTGGCTTCCACTGCCTTCCTGCTTTAAGTGTTTTACCTTCAGTTTTTCAACTTTGGGGAGAATTAAGTAGTGTTCCCAGCACACCTTCTTGTTCCGCCCCCCTCCTTGGTTTCTTTTAATTTAAGAAAGGGTCAATTAACTGGTGTGCACCCAGATGCCCCACAGCCCTCCCTACGGCACAGAGGGAGCCTCACAAGCAGGCTTGAGGAGGCATCCTTCATCTCCACATGATAAATTCCATGAACGATGCTGGACGCACCATCTCAAGAGACCCAAGCAGGTACAGGGGTGTGGGGCAGGATTCACCTACTTCACCAAAACATGGTGTTTCTTCACCAAAACTCGACATTTCTCCATCATCTGGGAACGACTGCTCCCCACCTGTGTGTTTCAGCGAAAATCTTAACTGGAAATTTTCAGCAAAAGAATCCCTTCGTTTCACAAAAGTCTTGTGCTCGTGCCTTCAGCTTTTAGCGCTTCTGTGCACAACAGGAGTCCCTGAGTTAAATCTGGTCCTAGGTAACTGCAATACAGCTTTGAAAAACAGGAAAAATGAAGGAACTGTAGTGGGACCTTGATGAGATTGTGAAGGCCATCACAACGCCCCACTGACCAGTATTACGCTGTTTTTTTAAACACACTATACTCAGTTATCACATGCTGTTTGGGGGGTGTTAGTTAACTATTTCTGGGGTTTCTTTTGTCTTACAACAGCAGTAACAAATGAGAAGTTATGAGTATCGTGATGCATTCTTAAAAACTTTATTAGTGTGACACAGGTTTTCAGTACAGACTGCGCAGTACAGTCGAAAGTCTAAATATCCCCAACTTGAATCTCCGGGCTGTCTCTGCCTGCAACGCTACGCGCTGGAGTCAGGTTTTGGTGTTGGTACAAATGTCGCCGGGATGAGCTTCCCTTGCAAGCTCCTGGTGAGGCAGCACGTGCGAAAGGACGTGCGAGAGGACGTTCTGCCGGCGATGAAGGTGCTTGTCGCGACAGCAGTGGAATCGCGATAGGTGCCTGCTCCTGCCCGTCACCCCGCAGAGTGGGTGGAGGTGATGCTGCTCCCTGCAGCATCGACCTCTGCCCCTCCCTGTGTTCCCTTCTGGAGCGCGAGGGGACAGGAGCGAGGATGAAAAACAGTGCAATATAAAAACAATTTTTATTCCCGTTAACCTGAACTTCTCTTTGATCTCCGCGGAGGCCTGCGTACCTCCTGTATTTCCTCTTATGCAATGGTAATGGTGTCATTGTGATACTAGGGTTTGTATTTGTTCAGTCCAGGGGATGCCTGACATTACGAGATAACAGTTCAGACACAATAGGAAATTCAAAAAAACCCCACAAAACCTAAAATCCTTATCTGGTGTTGTTTTACCTACAGTTAAGGCAGCATCCAAAATATTTGCTTTATTACTAGATGCACTTGATGAAGCAGCTTATCCCCAGATTCTCACTCTTTAGCTATCCACAGCTTACCTGTGGTTCCCCAGGAGCTGCCGGCTTGAGGAAAGACTGCACAGCCCGGCTAAGGCGGGCTGAGGATAACTAAAGCTCACTATATTCCAGAATACTTAATGCACTCACCGCAACATTAAAAATGCTAACACATACAAATTCTTCTGAGATTTAGAGGCACTATGTGGAGATTATGTGCAAAAGACTGCAGATTTATATTTTTGGCGTCGCTATTCATTTAAGAAATCTATCTCTTGCAAATATAAAGCTTTTTTTCCCTCTGAAAACTGAAGAAAATTACAAAAAAGACAAAATATATGAGTATAATAAAATGAATAGCTGAGGGAAAACCTCCCCAGCCTACTACTGGGACAAAAGAAAAGATGAAAAAAAAAAATCCAGCAAGTATCAGTGTAATAAAACCACCCGGAATAACCACATGCTTTTTCCATCAACTTTGTTTCTTCAGGAATTCTTCAGGAATAATCATCCACCAACAGAAAGAAGATGTTTTACATGATGTGCCAAGATCCTGGGGGAAAGAAAAAAAAAAATTAAGAGTGCTTATCTTCTTTAACTTGGAAAAAAAAAAAAATCACAAAATAAATTTGAGCAGAATTATTGAAAACATAAATCTCTAGTGACAGAAAGAAATCCAGGGACTCTTGGTATCAGAAGAGGATGCACCTGAAATAACAACAGAAGCTCACGATCCTAAAGATAAAAACTACTACTAGAGAGGTGCTTGGTGTTCAATAATCTGTAAAGAGGTCTCACTAGGGAAGCTGTATATCATGCCTTGGACTCCTTAGTTACGTGAACCTAAAGGAACCTGGCTACATGAAGTGATTCTGTACAAACCGTATGGACACAGGGCTTGAAAAAAACCACCGAGAGCCTTTTCTGGCTAGAAGCACTGAAGTTCAAAGTGTAGTGACTGACTCTAACCACATCTTGGTTCAGTTAAAAGAACAGAGAGGAGGAAATCTCACCCAGCGATGTTAATGTTTAGCTTGTTTTCTGCTTCTCAGGTTTGCTGCTGGAGGACTGTCCCACTGGCTAAAGAGCAAGAGAAGCATGAGAGAGTAAGAAACTGTGAAACAAGCTAAAATCCAGAATAAAACAGTGGCAGATACTGTTCAGACAGGACTATGATCTGCACTTGAAATACACAGAGTTTAGCAACAGTATCTGTAACTTCTGTTTTGTACATGTTTGCTCATTTTTCCACCATCACTTGTTTTTTTTCAGGTAAAGCAGGCTGTGGCTGACCTTGTCGTACCCTATTTCTCAATGTCCTCTTACATTTTGTGATTTTACACTGAAAACTGTAAGACAGTTCTGTTGTTACACAAAATGCACGTGTGGCAATTTCATAATGAAGAAAAATCACATCACTCAAAATGTGAAACATAAAATTTGCAGAGCAGATGTTACTGTCCAATTCAGGCATCTACCTGCACATCTCCCACGAGAGAACAGTGTGACTGGAAAAGTTTCACCCTTGAGTAAATCTATTTTCTGTATTTCTGGATGACAAAATACAAGCAACCTATTTCTTTAAAAAAAAAAATAGAGAAATACTGCCTTCCCTTTCCCACCAGATTAATCCCACATGCTTATTTATGATTATAAGTACGTTTTCATTCATTTTTAAAAAAATAAATTACAATAGTAACTTGAGAAACAGATGTGTGGTTGAAGGAATGCATTCTAATAACTTTCAGAGTGCTGTTGTTCAAAGTTGTTAAGAAAAGAGAGAAGCGAAGAGGATCCCGAGGAAAGTGTAAGCATGTGAACAGTAACACATCATCAGACACAGGAGTGAGAAGCCTGGAAAACATGCACCGAGCCCCCTGCAGAAGAGCTCACTGGCTCTGAAACAAACATATTTTAGCCTCCATTTATTAAAACTTTCCCAGAGAATAGGTGCTCTTCTCCTACACACCCTTAACAGAAATTGACTGAATTCAACATGTTGATGTAAAATTCTCCCCAGAGTAACATCCATATAATACAAATCCTAAACCCAGTGCCCGTGTTTCACATTTACAGCATATGGCCACCACGACCGCCCATATCACAACACATGTGCTTCTACCGTTTTAGGGTCTTTGCGTTTTCCTTTAGCCTTTGGTGTTTCTTTTGTGGTGATCGCGTCCTTTCCGCTTTTGTCCTACACTCCAGAGAAGAAAAATAACCTCAGTTACAAACAAAGTAGACAACTGATGGCTCCTTCTTCGATGCCTGCCATAACACATCGTTTCAAACGCGGTGGTTGAGGCAGGAGAGAGCTCGGCACAGGACACCAGCAGGCAGGTGATCAGAGCTGGAACCTGGAGCCGTGTTCAACGCCGGGCAGAGCAGGGCGGCAGAGAGCACACGCAGATAAAGAGGCTGGTACATATGGGCAGATTCTCTGTTTACTGCAAAGCAATAATTTTGCAGTAAAAGGTTCAGCTGCGGGGTTCCTAACAAGATAAAACAGCCCTTAAAACACCCATGGTTTGTCTTCAGCTGCCCGAGGATTCAACGTCAGGAGAACCACTTGGGGAAAGGCTGCCATGGCCAGGAGAGTGTTTTGGACGTACGGCTATTTCTTCACAGGAATTACATGTGATTTGAACCCCCCTTTCGAAGCTGTTCCCTCACAGCCCCCACAGCATGAAAGCACAGAGAATAGTTATCAACATTTTATGAACAAACTCGGTATCTGGGTGCCTCCTGCTATGAGCTTAAGGAAGCTGGTGCAGTTTTTCAGTTGTGAGCTGGTTACGCTTCCACAGCTCTGTCTGTACAAAGGATTTAATGTTTGACTGCTAATACTCTGTTTTGCTCAAGGATGAAAGCTCTTGTGATTTACGCTTTCTCCTTACTGCAGGAAAGAGGCAGAGTTGGGCTGGCAGGGATCAGGAGCACATAAGAGACAAAGGCAGCTGTACATAACTTTAAGAGTAGTGAAAAACTGTTTATTTTGCACTTATTAGTAGAAAATGTCCTACCTGTGACTGCTTTGGTGTGGCAGGAGCCTTCGCACAAGTGTCGAAGTCACCTGACAGGGCATCAATAGCTGCGGAGTCATCTGTAGGCTTCTGCAACAGTTTTAATTCTGACGTCACACAATACACAAGTCCTCCTGCAGTCTAATTAATAGTTCAGGAATTCCTGTCTGCTTTAATTATCCCTTTATATTAATAAAAAATGCCCACACCTGAGTCCCACGCATATGTTAGAACAGAGGCGTCTATAGGAGTTTTCCAAGATACCAAATTTCTCTGAATACTGGAACTGAACATTCACAGTGTAGCTGTGCATAACAACTGTATTTATTGTGAAGAGTAACTCTTCACAAAAGTTTTACTGTCCACACTGTCACTACTGTCTACTGCATTCATCAGCATTTACGAGAATTTGCAGCGGATCATGCCTTGAGCTTACAACGACACAAGTTCGAAAAAAAAATCCGAGCACACACAGCATGGAACAAACACAGGACAGAAATATCGTAAACACTACCTTCCATTCCTTGCGTTTCACATCATCCTTTGCTCCTGGCTTTACTGGTTTGCCCTTGGGAAGAGGAAAGAGACATTTTAAACCCGTCAACTTTGTTATAAAATACAAGTTCTTCCATGTGACATTGGGAATTCTTCCCTGCTCCCCGCAATTCCAAACGACAGGTTGGCTCACACGCACAAATTTCTCGTGTTGCAAATAAAAACCAACAAAGCTTCTCCTTACCTGCTCACCCGACTCCAGAAGTTTTTGATAGTCAGGTGGGAGAGTATCATCTCTTTCTCCAAGTTTGTCTTTGTGTTCAGATTTAGCTTTTTCCTGAAAGGATTGGATTTTTTACCATCTTTAATACTTAAACTAGAAAAATTAGCAAACAGTAGGTCAGAGCGCTCATTAGTTAGGACAGCCCATGGTGCATTTTTCCCGCAGTAACAGCCTTTACCTCAATTATTTCAGTATACACTTTACTATTACTACTGCTATTATGCAGAAATATGTCTGATTTTCTTATTAGAGGAAAGCTCTTTATACAATTATCTGAAGAAAGACTGCATGAAGACAAAACAAGCAGAAACAAGCAGGTTGAAAAATGGGACTGATTAAATGAGCGTGTCCCATGATGAACTTGGTATCTGCAGGCTTATAAAAGTCAAAGTTTGACAAAAAGAAGGTCACAAAATTATTTTTAGAAGCAGAGGCCAGAGAAGACACCAGAAAAATAACTATACTGATGACAATAAAAGGCACTGAAATAAAATTACTGCAAACTTCCTGTAATATTTCAACACTTACCTCCAAGTAGCTGAAGTATATTAACTAATTCAAGATTTTTGACAGCACACACAAATAATCCAGCTGATTGAAGAGTGGTTGATAGAGAATCATAGAATCATAGATCATTCTATGAAAATCTGGCTACATACAGGACTACATAAGAGTATTTTGTTCCTTTTTTTTCTGGTAACCTTACTCCTACATCTGAAAATTACATGCCCTATACTATGAGAATATAAGAAGTATTGCAGTACATCATTTATTAAATAAAAAATCTCTAAGAAGTAAGCTAGGTATCTTATATTTTTGTTGTTGTTCAGTTTTGGGGGATTTTTTTGTTCATTTTTTTCCCCTGACTGCAGAATTTTCAGCATGTCTTCTTACCTTTACTTTATCCACAACTGGTTTGTTCTCATCAGGGTCGGGTTCCCTCTGTCCCAGGGAATCGGACAGGAGATTCAAGGCGTCATCCATCTCTTTTCCTCCCTAACGAAGCATAAACACATTTGTGAAAGCAAATGTGTGGTAAAAATTACTTAATCGGTCAAGCTAATATAAGTACTGACTAATGAACTGTCAGCTGCAGCGAACAATGAACAATCAGCTCTCCCTTTGTAATCACACTGTAGTGCAACAGCTGGGGGAAAGACTACTGAATGTTTAGACCCATCGAAAACGTAATTTCAAGAAGTGGGTAGGAAATTTATTTTAATGGTTTTGTTTTGTTACACATAAGCCTAACTGATCTAATGAGAGCAGTTCTATGAAAAGATTGGCTTTCTGTAATTGCCTTTCGTTTTGCAAACACCATTATCCCTGCACATCAGCCGCTAGGGAAGCATCAATCTGATTTAAAAACTTTTTACCACTTTTATCTTCACAATATGTACAGTCTTTTGCTAGTTCACCACACCAGTTTTATTTAAACACTGGTTAGGAAAAAAGCCCTTAAAACCATCTAAAATCCTGGTGTGGGGAGCTTTGTATTCCCCTTTCAAATGAGGCTGGAGACAGCAGAGGGAGCTCGCACCACACAGAGAGTGAGGAACCATCCGACCTCACGGGAAGTTCTCCCAGGGTTAGAATCACAGAATCATTAAAAGCAGGTACTGTTATTAGTACTCTAAATGTTCTCATTACCTAACCAGGAAAAGAAAGGTGTGGTTCTGCTCAAGGCCCAAGCCAAATAATGTAACCATGGACAAGGAACTGCCCTGACAGGAGATGCACATCCCTGACGTCTTCCGTAACCCAAGGAACTGGCACAGGACGGGCACCTCCTGCTCCAAGCAGGTTTCAAAGGCAGGCTGAAACACGAGCAGCATCCACTCTTAGCAGGCAGGTGGACAGGAAGTGTCCAGAAACTTACACTTTTGTTTTTATCCCAAACAGAACGGTTTCTTTCCCATCTAACAGCCAGTATGAATTATTTAACTTTGGAACAGTTGATACTGGTAAAACTGGCCTGATCATACTCCCATATCTCTTCATTAGGAAAGGCATTGTCCCCTGTGCTTGTCACTGGTGAGGCCACACCTCCAACGCTGTGCTCACAGTTTTGGGCCCCTCACAACAAGGACATTGAACTACTCCACCCTACTCTACTCTACTCTGCTCTGCTCCACTCCACTCCACTCGTAATTCAGCTCTAGTGGGGTGTTCTAGGCAGTTCTGGGCACTACAACATAAGAAATACATTTTGGTGCTGGAGCGTGTGGCAACGGAGCTGGGGCAGGGTCTGGAGATCAAGTGTGGGGAGGAGCGGCCGAGGGAGCTGGGGCTGTTCCGCTGGAGAAGAGGAGGCTGAGGGGAGACCTTCTTGCTCTCTGCAGCTCCCTGGCAGGATGGGGCAGCCAGGGGGGTCGGGCTCTTCTCCCAAGGAACAAGTGATGGGACAAGAGGAAACGGCCTCAAATCACACCAGGAGAGGTTCACACTGGATATGAGGAAAAATTTCTTCATCAAAAGGGTTGACTAGCCCTGACACAGGCTGACCAGGGCAGGAGTGGAGTCCCCATCCCTGGAGGTGTTAAAAAAACGTGCAGACATGGCACTTGGGGACATGGTTTAGTGGTCATGGGGGTATTGAGTTGATGGTTGGACTTGATGATCTCAGAGGTCTTTACGATCCTATGACTCTATGATCAGTAGACCTTAGTTTGAGATAAGGATTGCTTACTGAGGTAGAAGCTCGAGGAGCTGCAGAGTGCACTGAAGAAACTGTAGCAGCAGAGATAACGTCCGAGGACTCAGTGGGCTTTCCACCCTCCTTTTTTGTTTTCTGAAACAGCACAGAGAGTTATAACTAACACAGAGGACTAAAGAAAAATATGTATCACATCCCACACACTTAAAAGGCAATGCCCATACAGTTTACTTCTAGGACTTCTTTTTTTAATTAGAAGCTCTACTTATTTCACATTGAAACTCCTTTGGGAGAGGCAGTGTGCAACAGCTTCGTGTCTTGGTTTGTCCACATCAAACCTTCTATCTCAACGTAGTTAAACCTTGGCACAGCTCAAGTCAGAGGCAGGTTTAATGAGACTTCAGAGGAGTCAAGATTTCACCAAACCCATCCATATTCCCAAGTATCACTTTTTAAATTCTCAGCTGCAAAGTATGACTTATGCAAGCAACTTGTAAAACGACATGACAACTAACTAACTAAGCTTTGTTTCTTATTACTGAAGTCCCGCTTTCATATTTATTGGAAAAAATACTTTAAATGTTTAGTTATTTAAATTTATTTATGAAAGTTTAGATAAACTTGAAGGGCAACAAATAAAACATCAAGATTACTGTAACAATTTGAAAATGAGAAATCAAATATACTCACCTTTATTACAGCTGTTGGTCCAGATGGTGATGGAGAACAGGAAAATCCCTCTGTTAAACCCTCTAAAAGATCTTTTTCACTCATAGGCTATCATTAAAGAGAAAAAAAAATAGGCTTTTAAGCCTTTTCATCTGTTACAAAGTAAGCAAGTAACACAGTCCATCTCTATTTTTCAAGTTAAGACTGGGAGACCTTACTGTCATTTGGACAAGTAATTAATGAATGAAACATTTATGTTAATATTCACTTCTTTTTTTTTTTTTTTTTTTTTTTTTTACCTGGGGCTTTTCTTCTGGCTTTGGTAAGAGGGGTTTTCCATCTTTACCCTGCAAAATAAAAATCCCATTATATCAAACCAAGCATTCCTGAGATGCAAAACAAGTACTCTGAACAAGACAGTATTGCACAAGAAAATCATCTAACCAATAACCTCGAGCATCGACCACTGCTACTCAAGGTGTCATTTAAAAAATCCAGCTCCTGTAACTTAAAAGCCATTCAGTATGTGGGATTCTGAGTTTCTCAGCTTTGTGTTCCGATTTCCATGGAAACGGCACAAACAATAAACCAAACCCCAACTTCCAGGCTGGTCACAGCAGTCCTGGATGCAGAGCCCAGCGGGATCAGATCTCCTGACACCGGCAGCTGGGGCAGGGGCTGTGCAAATGCTGAACCTTGTGTCAAACAACATTTGTAAAAGTGCCACCTTGATGTGTTGCTTTTTTTAAGAGCTTTGACCACTCACAATTAAGTTCCAAAATACAAGACGCTAATGTAAGATGCCAGCGCACTAATCTCAGCCCAAATTACTTGTGAGTAGATACTTCAGTCTAAACCACATCTGTGCCTCTGCAGGCATCTAATAACAGATGTCAGATATTCAGGAACTACAAACTGGAATTTTTACTAGAAAAATGGCTGAACTAAACATCAACATTTCAAAATTAAATGGAGCTTCAGTTTCATCCACACACACTGAAGAATGAAAGGAGAGTAAGATTAAGCACATTAAATAAATTACTTTTTCTTCCGTTAATCTGTACTCCGGAGGAATTGTTTCTTCATCTTCACCCAGTTTTTTGCGTTGTTCCTGTTTGGCTTTCTCCTATGAAAGCAAAATAAAAATAATATCAAGAAAAATGAATAATTACATCCCAACAGAAACGCATACAAGCAAGCTTTCAAAGTCTTCCGTCTACTAATTCAAAGCAGTCTAATTCAATCCAGCTACCAGCTAAAAAACTCATGAAAGTTAAACAAAAAGCGCCTTTTCTCTTGAAAAAGCTTTCATTTCTCTGCCAGTTTCTTCCTGGGAAGGTCAGCGGTAGCTCTATCTATTTCACTAAAGATGAATGGAGTTAAGTAAATGGACAAGCATGGCCGACTAACAAAACAGCCTTATCTCTCCTAGTTCTTGAATTTTTTTGAAAAAGAGCTATCCAGGCTGCATGCAAAGGGAAGGCTGAACAGAGAAATCTGAAGCCAACTTCAAAAATTACTGCCCCCCATAGAAATTATGTTGGAAGATGACAGCTAAGAAAAGGTAGTAAAGCCAGCTTTGGGAGGTTTTTTTCCAGCCCCTAGAAGAGCTGTCCTCTCCATTTTTTGCTCCAGCCAACACTCTCTGGCCCATAGTGTTGGGGTGGCCAGTGAGGCACTCAGACTGTGACCAAACAGCACTCCCTCAGACAGAACACACATATTCCAGGGAACTGCGTAACACTGCCTATTAAAATAACAAGATCAGTGACAAAACCCAAAGTTTTCTGCATCATTCTTAATTTAAACAACTCATAAATTTTGTCCCTCTTGAAAAAGGGCTGCACCCTGTGCTTCTCAAGGTTAATTCTCCTTTGGTTCAGC